TTGCAGCCACTGCTCGTGCTGGCCCGTGGTGTCGACACGATTATCGCCATTGATGCGGTGAGTAGCTTGGCTGCATCTGACATCGACATTATGTCCTGAAAGGCTCTTTCCCCAGCCTGCGGACACCTCAGACAACTTCGCTGCAGGCCTCGACCTCATCGTGAGTGCTTCCGGCGCCCTCAGACCTCTGATGTAGCATCTCACCTTCGTATGCGCTCGAAGTCGACGCAAGCGCGAGTCCAGCTCTTCCCAGGAACGTACTTCTTCCCGCCCGTGCCGAACACCACGGACGTCTACCTCTCCCAAAATCTAACGCGTCGCCCGACGTTCTTCGGATGCAACAGCTCTGCGGCAAGCGACGAGCCTTTCGTCATATACATCGCGAACGGCGGACCGCCCCTCGGGCAAGCCCCGGTGACCAACACGCCCACGTTCCAGCTGGAGTACTCGAACGGCGAACTCGGGGCGATGTTGGACCAGACGTTCGGTATGGCCACAGGGCCAGAGAAGGATCCCGACTGGCCTGCGTGTCTGGCGTGCGCCATGGTGTGCTCGGTGCGGGCGCTCGTACTTGCACGTGTAGCCGACACTGAGAGCGGTCCGTGAGTAACCGAGATTTTGTCTGTACCAGATGGAAACACTGAGATCGTCGTCTCTTTGGTATCTAAAGGGCACTGGGGGTGTCGACAGCGAGAGAGGGGGTTTGGGCTGTGTGCAGAGTCGGTTTTGAGCGGGCTTGTCGTGCGCATTCGAACATGTACAGTACAGTAGAATACAAGGAGATATATTTTGTTACGAGTACAGTGGACGTCGAGAGTGCGAAGTGAAATGGAACACACGGCGGCAGCGAACACATGTCGTCGTACAGCCCGGGCGCCTATTTGAATCGGGACTCGCTCCCTGACCGGCACCACCTCGTTCGACTGTCTGCACCGCGCGCCGCCATATTATGCACCTCCTGCTCTGAACATCGCGGCGCAGCAACACTTAGCAAGGTACGTACCCACTCTTGAGCCTCTTCCCCTACTCCCAATCCATGGTCATGAGTCCGAGGATGCACCAGGACCAAACCCACCCAAAATTACAATCAGGTATGTCTTTACGCTCGTACAACCTCTATCACTGTGTCCGACCTGAACGCAGCGGTACCAAGGTGCGTCGGTGCGCCATTGTGACCCCACGTACCAATTCCCACTTGCTGCGAGTTGGCACTAACTCCGCAGCCGCGTCCAGATCGCCAGTGCCACCGCACATGCAGCTCACCAAGCCATCCGGTTTCCACCAGTTCTGCCGTCTCGTATCTGACTAAGCAATGCGAACAGGGACATCTTCTCGTCCACTGGAGACTCACCAGTGGAGTAACGCGGATATTGTAGCATATTCAAGCGACACATGGGGGATCTGGAGGATGTCGTGGTGTGCATAGGGAAGTACGTACCAAGTTTCGAGCCTCCCACCACCTCCAAATGCACACGTCGGCACGAAATTGCAATGCCTTCAGTTGTGACCAAAACTGCCCTGGGCCCCGCTGCAATGCAGACATCAGTACCGAATCTGCACACTTCCCAAGACGTCAGCACAAGTTACATGATCGCTGCAGAACCGACTCACCAAGATGTCTGGTTTTCCTGCCATCATGGACAAAAGCGAGTGAGGCGAGTGGTAGGAATTCAGCTGAACATCTTCTCGATTGCTGTGGACTCCGCGGCCGAGCGACTTGGCTGCGGCGACGGTGAGTTGCACCTAGCAGCATGCCTGCCACCAAGTCGGACGGTGAGCTGCTCACGAGTTGCCCGTGTCGAGCCAGTGCCGAAGCTTCAGTGAGATCGTGCGGAGGGCCGCACCATCTGCGACGAGCACTTTGGGTTCGTCCTCATCGGCTGGCCCAACAACTGTTGGTGGCGATAGCAGTGCGGGCGAGGATGGGCCTTGACCTAGCTGTGCACCATCGTTGAAAACACCAAGTGATCCAGGCCAGGTCTTCGGATTGCCGCCAAATGGGAACAGAGACTGTCTGGACGCCCCGCTGCCCGCAGGGCCTTTGTCGTGCTTGGAGTCGCAGTACTCGGACTTCACCGACCCCTTGCGCTCCGGGCTGGGTGATATCAGCATAGGTTTGAGCACCGAAAACTTCGACGGCAGTCGTGGTATAGTAAAACAGTGTGACCGCGAGTGCGAGTGCGAGTGCGAGTGAAATTGTGATGTGCTCGACATGGACGAGGCAAGCGTGAGCGATGGTGAGATGGGTGTCCCGTAAGTGGAGGGCGGTGGCGGACCTAGCCGCAGACTTTTTTGGAGGCAACGTCGACAGCCCAGCCAATATCGCAGGAAGGGGGAATGCCATCTTGAAAGACGAAGCGGACGGCGAAGGGAGCAAGGGGAATGAGGGTACAGGTGAGTGGGATCACAGAGAGAGAGGGAAGTGCAATTGAGCACCAGACGACTCGAAAAAGCAACACAGGTGATCTGCGGGTAACCACCGAGAAACGGCCGGCAAGCAAATGTCGTGGCTATCGGCAGGGTGCGTAGTACCAAATGGCAAGCTCTTATGGTATGTTGCGGGAATCCTTTTTTGGCAGGCTCATCGGCGGCGCACGGCAGAAAACAGAGTCGTTGTTGCTTGATGATTGTATTTGGAAGCTTCCAGTTGGGGCAAGCCAAGCGAGCGTGCACACATGATGGATGCCCAATCACGCAAGGCTTCGGTGCGTGCATCGCAACCATGTTATTCACCTGCATAACTACAACTATGTGTCCCTACCACCGACAATTCAGCATCCCAGCACCAACTAGATCCGGGCACACCCAACCCAAGACATCCGCCAGAGCAACCACAAAACAATATCCCCGATGGTGCATGCACAGAGGGAGGGGGCAATCGGTCAGTATCACCTTGCCAGCTGTGCTGGTGCAGCCCGGCGATCGGGTGTTACGGTCCAGGCCACGGAGCAAATGACATGAAACAAATGTGATTTCAGACTTGCCTGATTGCCCATAACGGCATATGCGCAACAACTTACACCGTTGGCAGACTTTGCGAACAGTGTCTGCATCCGAGACTGACTGCCGGATGCCGTGCTGTACGTACAGCGGCAAACGTCCCAGACCATATTTTGTCACGTTGCTATGCTCATCTGATGGGATGGCATTTCAGAAAGCCCACTGCCCTTGAATGAAGATCTGATGACTGGGACAAGGGAAGATTGTACATGCGACGATGATCCAGTTGTCAGCACGGGCCAAGACCGTCCGCTAGGATAGCCGCAGTGGACTTGTTACGACATGGAGGACACGGCCGCCGGTGGATTTGCGCTGCAGAGCGCTCGGATCGCATTGCGTTGAGACGGTCATCGCTAATCATCCAAACTTGCGGCCGGCAGTGGACGGAAATTCGAGCCGACTCTTGTACGTTTGGAGAACAGGGTCACAAACTGGGGAGCGGTCCCCAGTTTGCGACCCTATTCTCCTTCCTACAAGGGTCTGGGGAGAGCGCAATCCCACGGACAGGATTCCTGGGCGACTGGGACGTTGGATGTGATGCGACGGAGAGTGTTTAGGTACAGCAGCCGGCAGAAGGAGACGTGGAGGAAGCGAGATTGATTAGCTGGGTTGCGAGGGAGAAACAGCGGTCGAGGGTGGATGGATGAACTGCGCGACTAACCTTCACCTCTATGTAGACAATCACACACACTTGATCCCTGCTGCTGGCAAGGCATCGCAGGTTGCAGTCGGATGCGAACGCAGGGCTTGTGTATAATGCTAGAGATGTGGTGAGTGCTGTTCACAGTTGATGAGGTTTTGCAGCAGATACTTACCGCCGTTGTGCTCAAACACGCCACAGATGCTCCATATGGCAAGTGATGCCTCGTGGTGCGGTCTCGACCGTGCAGACAACTTGATCATGTCCGGTTATTTGGCTTGCGGGCAGGAGGGTGGATGGGAAACACGCATCATCTAGTACTCATGTAATTGATTTCAGTATCTTGTTTGTTAGTCTTGTGCATGCAGGCAGTGTGAAGTCGTAAGCCGAAGGAGCAGGTAAGCGAGTAGAGAGCGGGCAAGAGTTGCATTTATCACTAACTATAATCGTCGGCAGTGGCGAGCGACGTGAAGGAGACGTGAGCACACCACAAGCAAGGCAATAGCAGAGAGGAAAGGACGGCAAAAGTGCGACAGAGGTGCCGAGAGTGCAGTGAGGGAGGGCTGAGCAGACGTTGAGAGGCAGTAAAAAAAACTCATGTGACCTCCGATGTAGAGCAAGACCCGTCACCACTGTCTCGAACAGCGACGAGCATAGCTTCCAGTGATTTTCTGCTGGTCCGTGTTGTGCAAGACAATGTGTGCTGGTGTTGGGCTGAACTTGCATTCAGCGGTACTGCCAGTGGTACAATGGTCGTGTCGCTAGCGCTCTGGCGGGCTTACATCTCTGCGCTTACACCCGACGTCGCCCGGCTATCGTCCGGCGACAACCATCCGTTGCCCGCTGCTTCCAGCATCAATTTTTACGGCGACGACCGTGCGGAGGACGACGCAGGTGCCCAACCACCACCCAACCACGACAAGCCGGAGAAGAAGCCCCGGAAGAAGTGGACGATGGAGGAGATGCACATGCTCGTCGCTGCATGCAACAAGGTGTGTTACGCAGTCATGTTATGCCTCCCTCTTCCAGGGAGCCGCTGTACGGTTCGGGCCTAACCACTAGTGCTACGGCTGCGGCTACAGCCATTGCTGCTTCCTCGCATCGCCTCGCGCAGCTTCCGCATGTAATACCCTGATGCCTACAGGCAACGCTACCCGAACACCCAGACGCGTCTCCCATCCAAGGTCCGCTCCGCGCTCGCAGACGGCACCTCCATTTTCGAGAAGACGTGGAGCACGAAGCGACCTCCCTTCACTGAGGAGGAGGACCGCGCCCTCGAGGCCGGTTATGACAAGGACAGCACGGTGCGAGTGATGATTGTCAAGGACCCCACCTTTCAGGCCCAGAACCGCCAATCCACCAATGTGTGCGACCGCTTCCGCAACACATTCCCTGACCTTCACCAAGCTGCGGGCTGTAAACCCCACAATATGATGAAGAAGACTTGTACGGGTAGTGGGTGGAAGGATTAGGGGCCCGCGACGCCGCTGCGCGCCGCAACGGATGACGCGCTCGCGTCAAGCAGCCTGACGGGGCCCGTGCGGCGGAAGAGGCAGCATGCGGACCAAGGCTTGTTCAGGGGCGAGACGAAGAGCTCGGACGACGAGGACGGGTGGGCGCCGTTCCTCCAGGACAGCCCTCGAAGCACCCCACACATGACCGGCGACGAGACGGTGACGAGCCCCGACGGGGATCGAGATGCAGATGCTCGACTCGCTCAAAGACATGCTCACCATCTCCGACTTCATTCCCAGCTCGTCGCTCTCGTCGCTGACCGACTCGTCGCAGGCTTGGGCGTCTCTCCGGTGTGTGGTCTACGGTCATGAACGCTGCAACTCTCTGCCACCGACTGCTTGCGGAATTCTCCGTTCCAGCGACAAAACGAGTCCAGGCCCATGATCGGCAAGTCCGCGCTCAGGAATGGCTGTCCGCGAATCCACACCTTGAGCCTTCGTCGAGTAGGCCATCGTCCTACTTCTCTCCAGCCCCGTCATCACCGTTCTCCTTCCCACAGCTCAACCGCGGCGTTCTCGACCGCTATGACCTCTTTCCTACTCCGTGCGTGTACGACTTTGCCTCGGACGTCGGCATCAGCAACACGCGCTCAGCGTTCTCCGACTCGGATACGTTCGCCCCGAGTAGCTGCTGGCGGTTCATGCACCACCCCAATCACATCGGTGAAATCCTGCGCTCGGCCACACCAGCCACAGCAGTCCGCCGACTACGGTTCAGGATCAGCTTCGGGGGCGGCGCAGCACTCGGGCTCTCACGCTCAAAGACCACGACACTTCTCTCTGACCTCACCACGTTCGCCCTGCCCTCACAGACCGTCGAGGAGATCAACGGCTTGACGCAGGAGATCCACGTCATCCTGCCGGTAATCCTGTAGACGCACATGGACAAGCGGGACCGCATGGCACGCATGCAGCAGGCGGGCGTGCACTCTCACTCTCGCGTCGCAGCACAGCCGCTCAATCTCGGTCCTTCCGTCGGGACTACGACCTGCGTGCGATCCCGCAGAGCCAGCAGATCAGGCCGAAGTCGCTTGTACCGCCCATGCGGTCACTGTCGCTGATAGTCTACGTGCCGTCGCATGCCATCAAGCACTACTTCGAACGGATGGCGAAGGTCTACGAGTAGAAGGAGATGACGAGCTGAGGCGGGAGGAGCTTTCGTACGATGAGGCATTTGTGTATGGGATCCAAAGCCGTGCCCGGAGCTGTATTCGCACGTTAGCTGCGGAAACGGTCGATGTGAGGTTCCAAGAGGGCTCGCGTCTGCCGGTGAATACTTCCCATTCCTGGCGCATCAATGATCCCTTGCACGCGACGGATGTGTACAGAATGAATTGATTTCCGTTCGTGGACCTACAAGCTACGCGACCGTGAGCCTATTTACCGCCATTTTCTGAATCTCGGCCCCGTTGTCAAGCCAGGTCGGCTCTTGTATATTACATCACAAGTACGTTCACACCGCAGAGGCAGTGTTTTTGCGTTAGCCTTTGGCAACTCTTACGGGAAGGCCGACGAGGCGCTGTCCGTGCTTCGCGAACACGGTGTCGTCAGAAATGCTTACTTGGATTTGCTGTCTTGCCCTCTGTTGTCTTCACTCGCCACGAAGGTTTCCTAGACTCGTATAGCTATGTGGTGGTCTGTTATACCTGTTAAGAAAGATACCGCAGCGAAATGGGGACGTCTTCCTCAAGGTCCCGCCCGCCGTGAGCAACCCCACTAAGGCAGCGACTTTCGGGTGTGCTTTCAGCTTGGGAAAACGTATGATGATGTTGTCTGAGTACGTCACACACATTGCGAGCCGTTTCCGAGGCCGCCGCATGCGTACACGAGGCGGGGGACGATGTTGTCATGTGGAAGCAATGAAACCGATCGAAACGACCGAATTTCAAACCGCTTCGCATTCGAGCAGAGCGCGTCATGCCCGCATCGTAACTGTGAAGCCATCAATTCTGCGTCAGTTTCCAGCCGCGAGCGGGCCCATTGCAAGGTAAATTCACAAATTTCGTCGCATTTCCTGCATTTCCCGGAGTGAACACTCCCTCGCGGGTCAGCTACTGCTTGTTTGGATGCGGAACGGTGGTCCTACGCACACCTAGCATGAATGAGCAATACACAGCTTGTTCCGAGGCCGCCAGACCAGCAGCGCGGCCGGTATACCCATCTCGTCCTCGAGGTGCCAAGGCAGCACCCATGGACCCGACCGGAATGCGGGATTTGAGAACCGCTCCCTGCGCCAGGAAAAGAGCTCAATCAAGTAGACGATGTACGTACTGCACCCCCTGCATCGTTTCCGCGGTGTTCGAACGCAGAAACAGCGCAGGAGAGCACGCGCACTTTCGGACGCAATGAAATCGCCCGAAAGTGCGCATTTTCAAACCTCGTCCGCGGACGACAAAACCGGGTGCGTTCGGTGCGGAACGTGCACCAGAATGCATGTCAGACGGTTTCCCGGCCGTCGCGTGAGCACGCGAAGAGGGGGACGACGATTTCGCCCGGGAGCCATGAAATCGGCCAAACCGACCGAATTTGAAACGGCTTCGTATCCTCCCGAAACGCGTGCTCTCTGTCGCAGAGCAGTGCGCGGGTCATCTCGCTCTCGTTTACCTGTCGATAAGAGACCAATGGCGGAGGTGGATCGCAATTTTAGTCGGATTTGGTGCATCTCCACGACGAACCGCCTCCTCACGATGCAGACACAGCGCCCGTTGGACGTCCTGAGTACCCCTCGCACTGCAGAATGATTCACAACCTCTTTCGAGGCCGCCGGACGAGCGACGCCGCCGCCGCTACACCCATCCCGTCCTCGAGGTACCGGCCCAGCGCCCATGAGCCCGAGCAGATTCCTCGGGTTCGAACTGCCCCTCCGTGCTGGGAAAATGAGACGGAAGTCTCCTCGTGTGCGTAGTCCGCTATCCGAGCAGGTTTTGCAGCCTACGCGTGCAGGGATGACGTGGGAGAGAGGGTGCCCTTTCGGACGCAACGAAAATGGCCCCCCCAAGTGTGCATTTTCAGAACACTTTGGATGACCGCGAAACCGAGCGCATTCGGTGCGGAACGAGCGATGCAGTCCGTTTGAGACAGTCTCCTGCCACACGGAACGGGCTGGGGAGGCAGGCAGGACTCGATTTCGGGCTGGAATTGCGCAGGATACCGGCCTCCTGTCCGAAACGCGACGCGGTCCGTGTGTGATAATCGAGCAGCATCGGGAAGCACAGGCGTCCACGCTTGATGGACGCCCATGTTCGTGCAAGCGTTCGGTACGCCGTAACGTAGATGTTCATTCTCGCTAATCCGTACATGTTCTCGACTACGTCTACGGCCGGCGGAGACGCGGGGGACACGAGATGCGACGGAGCTCACCTAGGCGACGGGGTCCGCTCTGCGCACCGCCGGCGGAGTTTGCTGGCCACGTCCGGGTCCGGGTTGCGGTCAGGCGGACGTCGTGGTGCCTGCCGTGCTTCAGCCGAACGGAGGGAGTCCTTCGCTCAGGTCGGACGTCGAGAGCGACGACGATCGAGTTGTGCGCACCAAGTGTGCGGACGGCATTGGTGCAGAGGAACAGCGGCAGACCGGCGGCGGGTTGCGGATGTGTGCGTTTGGAGCACTGGGTCGCGCTCGGGGTAGATCCGTATGGCTGGGATATTGGATGCGATGGGAGACTGCGGCTAGTGCAGGGAGACGGTTAATCGAGATGGGACGGGTTGCGAGGGAGGACGTACGTACCCGAGTGCGAGAGTCGGGTGAGCAGGGGTATAAGAAGGGGGCCGGGTGTACGGCCGGACTGTAGGCTCGGTTACCTGCTCCTCCGCTGTGTGCCATGGTGCGCTTGAGGGGGTCCGTGGGGCCGTGCCCCTGTTTCTGTTTGGAAGTCGTGTGAGTGGTGGTGTTGGCGACTGGTGGGGGTGGAGGATGTGTACTGACCTTTGTCGAGATCCTAGGCTCGATCGACGAGTCGACCACGGCACGGCGTTGAGCGTGCGGACAAGTCGATGATGGAACGGATGTGCGCTGCTCGTGCTCGGTCTTGGGTACGTACGCTTGGAGGGGGGTGAGCAGAGACTGTGCGCAGTTTGCGGTGAGGATGGGCGGGCGACTGGGGGTCACGCGGTCGACAGCAGGTGGCACAGGGGACGAGGATGGGAGTCGGTTGATGGTGCAACTTGAGCTCGGATTCCGGTGACAAGGCCTGGACGTCGGGCCGTGGCGTGCGTTCGCGGCGTGAGCGAGGTCGTGGTCGGTGTGAACAGCAGGCAGGAATAGCGGGGCAGGCAGGAATAGCGCGGCAGAAGGGGCAGAGCAGCGGGCGCTTGACGCGTTGTGAGGAGCGTTCGAGATGCTAATAGCGGCGTAAGCAAGGCGCGCTACAACGAATCCGAACTGCATAGACGCTGGCAAAAGGGCTCCCCCGCCTGCTTGCTGTCCAAACATCCCTTTATCGCATCCGCCTACTCGTTGTCCGGAGATTGAGCCAGAGCACCGTCCGCTTCCAAATGAACGTCATCCATGGTGTCGATGGGATGTACAGCCACGGTCAGTCTATGTACTACCTGTGCCATCTCATCGTGAATGGACCGTAACGCCTTCGTGCCGTTTAATCGGAAGAACGCAACCATCGGTTCCGCCCTATGGGGCAACGCGGTAGCTGCCCTGAGAACCGTCTACCGCTCGTGAAGTCATGCCGAGCTCGTCAGCGCCGAAAGGCAGCCCAGGCGATGACAATTCCGTTCATGTCAGTCTGATACCTCTATACGCGTGGATAGCATTGTGCATGCGAGGTTCTTCCTACCAGCATGGATCTTCCTACCGCACACCGGGTCTTCGATAGATCCGCGTAAAGAACTTGTTTCCCCCGGTGAGTTGCAGTCAATGCCGGATTCCGACCGTTAATCGGATCGCATACGCATGCGATGTCGTTCCTGCCCGTGGGTATGGGAGCAGTTAGCTTTGATGCCACCTGTAGCAGGTATATATTGTCCACTTACAGCTTGCAGGTGAGTGCCATCCTCCGCGCGGGTGGCTCGCCCCAAAACACGTCCTGTAGCCCAGTCGCAAGCGAGGTCTTGGTCATA